GGGTGGATTCTGGGGCCTCCTTACATAGGAGAGTGGGTCAGTGTGTCCTAGGCCCCAACTGCAGGCGATGACTGGAACAGCCTACCTGGAGGCCACCAGTGACAGGACACGTGCTTCTCCAGTGGAGGTAAGAGGTTGGGCTGGTTCAGAAAGCTCACTGCCCCTGAGTCGGTTTCTACCCACAGCGACACCCTGCCAGGTTCTGAGGGTTCCGAGGGCTCTGAGGCTGCAGTCGTGATGGGAGGGGCGGTGGTGCTCACACAGAAGAGAGCCTTGAGCTCACCAAACCCGAGAGGGGACCCTGAGTCTGCCTGTGGCTGCTGGGAGGGGGGCTGTGAAGACTTCTTACAGGGAAGGGCAGAGCGTACGCCCCTTCCCACCACTGTGATCTTGGGTGATGGCTCTGTGGACATGCCCACTGGACTGGGCAGCTGGTCAACACTGTGCTTGGACATTTGGTCAAACACCAGTCTGGACAGTGACCCGATTAACATTTACGACTGGTCACAGAGGGGTGCCTGACTCAAGCCACGACATTAACATTTTTATTTATTTTTTTAAAAAAATTTTTGTGTGTGTACCATCAAATCGGATCTGACTAGTACAGGAGGAGATTGACCCTCCTTCTGCAGCAGAGAATTTGGTGGATTTGAACCGTGCACCTCTGGGATTGCAGTGCAGCTTCTTGCCACTAGGCCACCAGCGCTCCCTAAGCCATGACATTCTTAACGACCTCATATATGTGAAAACTGGACAGTGAACATCATGACCCTGTGAACAACAGATCTGAACCGTGCCCCATCCTGTGCTATCTCCACCTTCTCTGACAGACTCGAGCCCATTGTTCCAGCCGCTCTGTCAATCCATCTCTCTTGATGACCCTCCACTTTTCCAAAGACAGATGACTCCTAACCTTAGGCCCAAAGTGTGTGAAACGTAGTGTCATCATCCTTGCTTCCAAGGGCCACCCTGGTTGCATTTCCTCCCAGACAGACGTTATTCTGGCAGTCCATATTCAGTAATCTTCTCCAATGCCACAGTCCAAAGGCACTGATTCTGTCCTCATTATTCACTATCCAATTTTCAGATGCACAGAAGTCATTGAAAAGACCATGGGTGAACCAGTTGCACCTTAGTCTCTAACATTACTGCTCTTTAGAACTTTGGAGAGGTCCTTGATGGCAGATTCTTCCAACGTAGCATGTCTTCTGGTCTGAAATGCTGGTACCCAGGGTGCTGACTGTGGATCCAAATCAGGTGAAACGGCTGGCAGTTTCAGTCCTTTCTCCATCTGTCATGACGCATGGCCCAGTGGTGAGAATGTTTGCTCGCTTTCTTAGTGCCGTGATGTAGTCCACACTGAAGGCTGCACCCCTTTCTCTTCTGCAGAAGGGTTCCAGGTCCTCTTCACATTCAGCAGGCAAGGCTGTGTCATCTGCATGATGCAAACTGTTGCCGAGCTGTCTTCCAGGCCTGACACGATGTTCCTCACCACAGAGTCCAGCTTCGTGAATAATTTGCTCAGCATACAGATTGAACAAGTATGGAGAAAGGATACAGCCCTGTTGTACACCTTCCTTAATTTTAAACCCTGAAGTGTTCCCTTGCTGTTTGGACAACAGCTTCTTGGTCTAGGTATAGATTTCAGATGAGCACAATTGAGCCTTCTGGGGTTTCCATTCTTATCAAGGTTTGCTAGAATTTGTAATGATCCATACATTCAAATGCCTTTGAATGGTCAATAAAACACAGATAGACATCCTTCTGGTATTCCCTTTCAGCTAGGCTCCATCTGACATGTCCAATGATATATCTGGTGCCACGGCCTCTTCTAAATCCAGTTTGAGCTCTGGCAATTCTTTTTTTTACATTCTTTATTCATTGTCAAATTCGCCCCCCCCTCCCATTCATTCATTGTTGCACTTTTCCCCCCTCCCAACCCTCCCCCCTAGTACACTACCCTCTTGGAAAAGTAAAAGAAAAATTCTTTCATTGTTTTACAATCCTTCCCTCCAGGTCCACTCCACTATGCAGCCTTCGC